ATTTCACTGGTCTGAACTAGTTCACATGCCTACAGCTACATCAGTCACTCTGGCTGAAGGAATGGATTACACTGATTGACTTGGTCTAATCAGGCCCCATCCTTGGAGCTATGGGATAAGGTCAGCTTTCCCCGAAGCAAAACACAGGGCTGCATGCATGAAGGGGAGGTAGATAAAAATCTGATCTCATGTTAAGAAGGTGAGAAGTGAGTCCCATGCCCACCTCTTTTTTTTCTTTTTTACTTTTTAAAAGTATTTATTACTGGGGTGCCTCACTGGCTCAATGAGTAGAGCATGTGACTCTTGATCATAGGGTTATGAGTTCAAACCCCGTGTTGGGCATAGAGCTTACTTTTTTTTAAAAAATGGGTTTTTTTTTTTAAGTATTTATTATTGAAGTATAGTTGACATACAATGTTATATTAGTTTCAGATGTACAACATAGTGATTTGACAATTCTCTCCATTACTTGGAGTTCACCACAAGTGTAGTCACTCTGTGTCACCGTATAGTATTACAATATTATTGACTATATTCCCTATCCTGTACTTTTTATTTCTCTGACTTATTTTATAACTAGAAGTTTGTGCCTCTTAGTCCCCTTCACCTATTTTGCCCATCCCCTTACCCTCCTCCGCTCTGGCAGCCACCAGTTTGTTCTCTGTATTTATGAGTCTGTTTTTGTTTTGTTTTGTTCTTCAGAATTCACATATAAGTGAAATCGTATGGTATTTGTCTTTCTTTGTCTGACTTACACCACTTAGCCTAATACCTTCTAGGTCCATCCATATTGTTGCAAATGACAAGATTTCATTCTTTTTTGTGGCTGAGCAGTATTCCTGTGTGTGCGCGCACACGCATGCAAACACCATATTATCTTCTTTATCCATTCATCTGTTGGTGAACACTTGGTTGCTTCCATCTCTCGACTATTGTAAATAATGCTGCAGTGAACATAGGGGTGCATATATCTTTTTAAATTAGTGTTTTAGTTTTCTTTGGGTAACTAGTAGTGGAATTACAAGATCATATGGTATTTCTATCTTTTTCTTTTTTGAGGAGCCTTCATATTGTTTTCTACAGTGGGTGCACCAATTTACATTCCCACCAATAGTGCATGAGGGTTCCCTTCTCTCCACATCCTCACCAACACTTGGTATTTCTCTGATTGGAGTTGGGGTGCACTGGGCCAAACTGGCCAACTAAACCGCATGGGATCGATTCACTATCACCAAGAATAGTTTGCTCCGAAAGACAGGGCATAAGATGCTGGTCAGGCAAAAGGAATATATCTACAGCAGATAGTGCTCTGCCTAACCTCCCACACCATCTGCCAACACCCCATAGGCATACTTTTTCTACTTTTGACACCCTGAGCCAACAGGACCCATGAGGTGACTGCAGAATCGCAAGATCGGGACAGCAGTTTTTTACATGGAGTAATGAGATTGCCATCTTTCATTGGATATCACATAAGGAGTTCACACTCAGTGTGTTTAAAATTAAACTTCAATTTTCCCAACTAGTTCCTGTGAACCCAATCTTAATATAATGATCAACAAGACATGGTCACTGCTTTTATAACAAGTCTTGGTCAACAAACAGAGTTGGTCCATAACTACAGGTATTTTTTTTTTTATCATACGAAAAAAAATAAATGAAATAGTTCTTATTCTATGTCTTTGGCATAGAATTTTCCCCTGAATGCTTTATTATTTTGTAAATTCTCTTTAATGTGGTTATATAACATGTCCTTTATCACTGAGAAATTTGCAAAGAAAAAGGGTTATTTGATACAACCCTACCTTTTGGTCTCCTATTTGGAGGTTTTATTATCTTTGTAGAAATGTATCTGATACTCACTGCTTCAAAAACACAAGGTCTCTGATTATGTATGATCTTTCTCTGGAAGTTACCATAGTTTATACAAATATGTTTGTTTTGTGTGTTTTAGATTTAAAAAGGTTTTTCAGGGAACAGAATCTCATTATTAATCTTACTTAGATTGTATGTTTTCATGTAGCTGTAGTATCTCCCAGATGCCAAGCACTACTACTGTGCTAGTGTTTAGGGATACAGAAATGAATACACCCTGCCCTCAAGAAGCTTATGGTTTAGTGCAAAGTATAGGTCAACCGACAGTTGAGTACAGTACAGTTTGACATTTACTATAGCAGAGGTGATCACAGATTGAGATAAAGTCTTGTCTTATGATTGCACTGTGAATTGTGGTGAAACTAATCTTTCTTACCCCCAGAGTCTTTCTTCAGTTCATGTGGCAGTTTACATAAACTAAGTGAAGAGCAGCTGCTGATTCCTCCTCCGCTTCCTCCTCGAAAGAAGTTTGATCATGATGCTTCAAATTCCAAGGTAGTCAACAGGACTCAGGTTTGCCTTAGCTTATTCAATTTATTCAAGGTTGTGAACCTTCAAAATAATTCTTGTTCTTATAAAAAGTCTGTCAATTATAATTTGGCTACCCTGTATGGTATATAAACACTCTGGTTGTTTTATCTGAAAAATACTTTAAATAATCGCTTAATTATTGTTAATATTTTTTTCTAAAAAGAGGCTGCGCAGATTCGCAGATACTCAGAAGTATGTTTTCTTTCTGGTAGAAAGGGAAAGAACTTTAGTATTCAAAGCATTCTTCAAATTTAAGCCAGTAATTCTCAAACTTCAGGCTGCATCAGAATCACCTGGGAGGCTTGTTAAAAGCAAATTGCGGAGTTTCTGATTCAGTAGGTCTAGAGTGGGACCCAGGAATTTGCATTTTTTAACAAGTTCCCTACTGGTACTGATGCTGCTGGTCCCTGGATCACACTTTGAGAACCACCACAGTAAGCCTTACTGGGGAAAGTAGAAGTAGATGACCAGAAGGCAGAAGCTGGACTTCAAGTTCCCTTGACATCATGTCCTTTAACATCTACAAAGCTATGTATTCCTTTCACTCACTTGCCTATTATAATTAAAATTCATAAATTTTTGAAAGGTGAGGCTTTATGTTCTAAGATTTCAATTAAAACATCTCACATATAAAAATATTAAAATAGGCCCTAAATTAAACTGGGAGTATTTTACTTATGAATCTGATCATTAAATCAGGTTAACCTATTTTGAGCTTCTGGATTTAACTGAACACATAAGAATTTTTCAGTCTTTTTAAAGCTTAACAGATTTTTCAGGAGAATGGAGGTATAATTTATTTATTTATTTATTTATTTTTTTTTTTTGAGGGAAATACGAAATCTGATGATGACCCCCCTGCTATTCCACCAAGACAACCTCCTCCTCCAAAGGTAAAACCCAGAGTTCCTGCTCCTGCTGGTGCATTTGATGGGCCTCTGCATAGCCCACCTCCACCACCGCCAAGAGATCCTCTTCCTGATACCCCTCCACCAGTTCCCCTTCGGCCTCCAGAACACTTTATAAACTGTCCATTTAATCTTCAGCCACCTCCACTAGGACATCTTCACAGAGATCCAGACTGGTTCAGAGACGTTAGTACCTGTCCAAATTCGCCAAATACTCCTCCTAGCACACCCTCTCCGAGAGTACCACGTCGATGCTACGTGCTCAGTTCTAGTCACAACAACCTTGCTCATCCTCAAGCTCCCCCCATTCCACCAAGGCAGAATTCAAGCCCTCACCTACCAAAACTGCCACCAAAGACTTACAAACGGGAGCTTTCGCACCCTCCATCATACAGACTGCCTTTGCTAGAAAATGCGGAAACTCCTCAATGACCTTAGCCATATGTAGTCATGACACTGGAATGGTATTTGTAAAGGGTTTTTTTTTTTTAATTTATTCAAAAAAGCATAGTATTTTAGTACTTTTTACAAATAATGCTCTTACAAAAATGCTACTGATCAAATAAGCTTTTAAAAATTGGAAAAAAAAATACAGAAGTCCTTTATCATTATCCTCAGGTGATCAGTAGCATTGCCTTGTCTTGGATCCTCAGTGCTGCCAAAAGGCCAGTATAAAGAATTTATATTTGCACTGTAGACTCTGCTAAAGTATGGTTTAAAGTGACATTGATTGCACTGAAAGGGGATAGTGCATTTGTGGAATTTTTCAAATTTGGGTAATAGATGCCTTTTTAAGGCAATGAATTTACACAAATATAGGGGGTGTATGGTATTACTGATTTTTAAAACTCTTTGACCATCTCCTAGTTTTTACTTCTAGTTTTTACACTTAAGAGAATTGTGAAAAACACCCACTGTTCTTAAACTCTTTAATGCCATGTCTTAAATGCCAGAATTTGCTGCTGAAGACAAAAATGAAAAATAGAATGAAAATAATAGAATGCACTGTGTTTATTATTTTGTTAAAATGTATACAGAGACTACCTAACCCAATCATAGAGGGAAAAAGGGCATGTATCTCATTCAGATGTGCCTTTTGTTTTTGCAGACTATGGTGTCTTTAGCTAATGAGTTGCCTATTGTTTTGGAAAACAAAGTTAATTTGCCATGTATGTACAGTTTTGTTTATATTGTATATTTAAAGATAATGCTAATAACCTATGTAAATTTAAGTGACTCGAGGCCTATAATACAATCTGCTACTTTACTAATTGAGAAATTCAGAGGAAAATTTCTTATGGCACAGGAACCAGCTGCCTTGCCCTCAAAACATAGTAACTTTCTCTATAAATCTCATGTTAACTAAAATTTAAAAAAAATTTTTTTTTAGATTGGTAACATCTAAACCAACAAACATACTTAAAACTTTATTAAACTTTTTATTCAGAGAAGTGAGCAAAAGTTTTATTTGCCATTTGGACTCCTGGGTTCAAAGTGATGAAAAAGCGTGTTTTGCTGATAGTGCTGTAGCAGCAGTTGTAAAGTAGCCAAAAGCCACGTTGTTTATTTACTGGTCTGTGGCCTTTTACTGTGCTTTGTATCAGAGTTCTTAACAAGATTAATAAATCACCCCAGTCTTAATTTTTAAAAGACTTTTATTTTTTAATTTTTTAAATTTTTTTATTGTTATGTTAATCACCATATATTACATCATTTCATTATAAGGAACAAGGGGAGAGATTGTTGAGTTCTGTGGAAATACATACACCCACATTATTTTCAATATTTTGTGCAACTTACATAATCCCAAGGAATTTAAGTGATGTAAATTTTAGAAGGATAACTTTGTCTTAACTGTTAAAACGCAATCAGCAAACTTCCAGCGACCATTTTTATGCATTCAGATGAAAAATTAGGAGCATGCTAAGAAACTCTTGATAAGGAGGATTATACCCTTCTTGGTAAGATCTTGGAAACTGCCTGGATTTAAGGCCAGTAACTACCGAGTGAATTATTCTCCAGGTAAAAACACCCCAGGTAAAGAGCAGGTGACAATATTAGCTTTGTCTCGAAGAGTGATTTAAGCTGCCTGCTTGTTAAGCCAGGCTTGTAATTTAGAGGAGGCCCGGTGCTCGACTATGCGCGGGTAATCCTGCCTTCCCAGCTTTGTGCCTCTGCGCACGCGCTTTGGCGCCAACTTCGCCACTAGGGGGCGCCGGGCCCTCTTCAGGCCGGCCTTGGGGCGGTGCGTGTGGGTGTGACGTCACTGCGTGCGCCGCAACTTGTTGCCGGGCAGCGATGGCGGCTACCCTGGAGTCCTCGGTGGAGGACCCACTGCGGAACTTCGTTCGAGTTTTGGAAAAGCGAGATGGCACGGTGTTACGACTGCAGCAGAATGGTTCCGGCGGCGTGGGCTGCGTTGTTTGGGACGCTGCTATTGTCCTTTCTAAGTACTTGGAAACGCCCGGGTTTTCCGGCGATGGGGCCCACGCTCTGAGCCGGCGATCTGTGCTGGAGCTGGGCTCTGGCACTGGGGCCGTGGGGCTCATGGCTGCTACCCTTGGGTAAGAGCTGGCAGGAGGGGGTGCCGCTTTGTTCGGGAAACCCGGATTAGTGGTTTAGCACGTTTGTGCCTACACTTCGATCGACGTTATTTTATAGGGCTGATGTTGTGGTCACAGATCTTGAGGAATTGCAAGACTTGCTGAAGATTAATATTAATATGAACAAGCATCTTGTCACTGGTTCTGTTCAAGCCAAGGTACTGAAATGGTTTGTATGGCCTTTCAGCTTGTTTTAAGAACGATTTGTAGTTTGCTTTAAATTGCGTTTCACTAAAAGCATAGTTAATACGAAGGGAACTTTCCAGAACTTGTTTATGAAACAGTATTTTAAATTGTTAAAGCAACAGTTAAATATCTGCTTGACATTTTTAAGGGGGGAAGAAATAGAAGACTTTACTTCTCCGCCAGACTACATACTGATGGCTGACTGCATATACTATGAAGAGGTAAGTATTCAGTGAGTGAAATGTCCGTCTTTAGAATTTGTACCATAATTTGTGGATTCCAAAGTGCACATTTCTACATATTTTAACATTTCTGAATGCAGGATATTTGTCCTATAGTTGATGACACAGTAAAGAACATAAAGGTTACCAGGGACTATATACATATGTTCGTGATAAAGAAAAGACCTGTGAAACATGTTGACAAAAGTGTTATGTGCATTTTGCTAGAGGCTTCTGCAATATTTTAAAGGTTTTGCTATTTGGATCTGTTTTGAAAAGCTAAGGTTTTTTTTAAGCTCTTTCTTGGGAACATGTTAACCATGATATTGAGAATTAAGTTGCATTGTAAAGAATTCCTTGTTCTATGGCAAGATTGATTCAGAATGATATTTTTAAAAATATCAGTTTGTTTCATATTGTGGACATCACATTTTTTTTAAATAAACATTGAACTAACTTATGCTCAGGTTAGGGTCAGACTCACTTTTGTGGGTAAAATTCCAAGTTAAAATAGATTAAATAAAATTAATTTTTTAAGAGTGAGGTCAGTTTCATTTGTTTTCCTATGGGAACTCCAAAATGCAGGCATTTGAGTCTTTTGGAAATTGAAATAAATACAATGGTTGATTAGTGAAGAGGAGTTTACCAATCATTAGTTACAGAGCTTTAACCCCATGTACTTTGTTGACTGGTTCAAAGATGGATAAATTGGAGGGGAGTTATAGTTACTCTCCACTTCCCCTATACCCTTTTATAGTAAAAATAGAAATTTTTAAAAATCATAAAGTAAAAGTGATACTCCTTTTTGAACAGTCTTTGGAGCCATTGTTGAAAACTCTAAAAGATCTTAGTGGATTTGAGACTTGTATTATATGTTGTTACGAACAACGAACAATGGGAAAAAATCCAGAAATTGAGAAAAAATATTTTGAGGTAAGTAGGAGATCTGTTTTTGTAGTGCTTTATGTGACTTCACTGAGGCATTATGTGACTATGTGTTCAAGTATATTATGGTAATTTTGAGTGGGGAACACATTCTGCTTGTATGAATCCATGGAGAGTATCCTTCATTGCCCACCATTCTACTAAGCTTCTCCCCACCTCCTTTTTCATCTTTTCTGATCCTTTTTTTTTTTCTTTTCTAATAAGTTGATCTAGTATCTACAGAACAACGTAAAATAGTAACGGTGACACCCTTGTCTTTCTGGGAAAGTTTTCCATGTTTATTAAATATGCTGGCTTTTGGGAACATATTAATGACGTATATTACTTTTGGAAAGTACATCATAGAAACATGTGATATGTTTTTACTTCTGTGCTTTTCTCTACATTTTTATGAAAGCTTCAACCAAGATATCCTATCTACTTTCTGGGGTGTTTTTGTTTTTTGGGTTTTTTTGACTTTTTATTTTTAAATAATTAAAGACTCACAGGAAGTTGCAAAAGTAGTACATAGAGCTCCATGTATCTTTCACCCATCTTCCCCAGTGGTCCTCCAGACCCTTTTGATGGGCAAAAATCCATCACATTATAAGTGACTCCTCTTGAGGTACATCTACACAGTCCTGCAGTTTAGCCACTGAAGGGACTACTTCGCTTAAATAAGAATGCAAATACATGACTCTGCCTCAGATAGGTGCTAAAATTCTTTTTTATTTTCATGTTTTTCTTGAAAGTAAAGAATGTTAATAAACTTTGGAGACTATAATTGAAAATTCTGTATCGTTAAAACAGTTTAAATTGAGTCAAAACACATGTAAAATGCACACATATCAAGTGCTCGGCTCAATTTTTCATATGTATACACCCAAGCAACCACCGCCCTACATAAATAGAACATTTTCAGGACCTCAGAAGGCACGCATGTGCCCTTTTCCAGTCAGTACTTCTCCAAAGTTAACTGTCACTCTGACTTCTGTCACCACAGGAAACCTCATATAACTGAATTTGAAGTATATCTCTTTTAAATTTATAGCTCCTCCAGCTAGACTTTGACTTTGAAAAAATTCCTTTGGAGAAACATGATGAAGAATATCGAAGTGAGGATATTCATATCTTATACATCAGAAAGAAAAAATCGGTAAATACATTCCCAGCTCTTTATCCTCTGAGGAAATCTATTAGCTGGTCACTGTCTCTGGGCTAATGTGTGGTGTAGATGTTGATTTGATGTGGGGAAACAGTGATGACTCACTGGACTCAGGCACTCTCAGTGTTTAGATCACTTAATCTACCTGGCCTTGGATTCTAACTCTAAACAAAAAAAAACAACAACAGGCTTCTTTGATAAAGGTCCTTTCCATCTGTAAATAATAGAGCTTTATAATTGGGCATTACCTCAGGCAAATAACTTAGCTATTTGTACATTTCTGTTATCTCTCAGATTTAAAAATGCCAGTTCTGACTCCCGTGAACTTTCTCCAACCATTCAGATTTTTTTAAATAGTCCAAAGTATAACAAGGTAGATCGGCCCAGTAAATAAAAATGCACTCAGTTAAATAGAATTTATGTATATTACCCCCTTTTTTATTGCTTCTTTACCTGTTTAAATAATTACATTTTACATGGGTTGCCTCTGTATGCCTAGAATTTGCGTGTGTAGAGGAGAATTGTATTTCATCCATTTTGTATCACCTTTTGTATATGTGACTAGTATAAGGCAGGGACATGATCTAGTTTATGAATTAAGGATACTAAATTTATTAAGTCCCACTTGTTTCTGTTATCTTTGCTTTCATGGAATTTGTTCATGATGAAGTTTTCTGATTATGTGAATTCTAGTCAAAAGCAAATAACATAATTTGGGGGATCAAGGCTGGGTGTTAGAACTGTAAGGAAAGAGAGGTGGTGGGATTAGTAATTCAGATTTACTAACTTTCATTTGGCATAGTGCTGGAGATACAAAGATAAATTTTAAAAATGTTTTATGCCTTAAGGAATCTGGTTTTAGCTCAAGCTGTTGTGTAGTTTTAAAAGTAGAATTTCTTTTGAGGTATAAAGATTTTATGTTTCCTAAATGTAAAGCCCCCCCTTTTTTTTTGGCCAAGAATCACTTCTTTGTACAAAATTGATAAGATTCACCCTTTTAAAATGTAAAATTCAGTGGTTTTTTATATATTCACAGAGTTGCACAACCATCACTTTTTAATTCTAAACATTTTTTTATCACCCCAAAAAGAAACCCCATACCCATTAGCAGTCACTTCCTGTTCCTGCCTTTCCCTAGCCCTTGGCAGCCACCAGTCTGTTCTCTGTGGAGTTGCCTGTTCTGAACATATCATAGAAGTGAGATCACACACTATGTGGCTTCCTGTATCTGGCTTCTTACAGTCAGCATTGTGTTTTTAAGGTTCATCCATGTTGTAACATACATCATCAATACTTAACTCGTTTTTATAGTTTTAGAAGTAAAAAATGGTTTTAATATTTCTTTGATATACTACACCTTATCCATCCATTCATCAGTCATTGGGCATTTCAGTGGTTTTTCACTTTTAGGCAATAATGAATACTGCTGTGAATATTCATATAAGAATTTTTGTGTGACTTATGTTTTCAAATCTCTTGGGTATAAACCCAGAGTAGATTTGCTAGGTCATATGAGACCTCCATGTTTAACTTTTTGGGGAATTTGCCAAACTGTATTCCAAAGCTGCTATACCATTTTACATTCCAACCAGCAGTAGCTGAGGGTTCTCATTTCTTCATATCTTCACCAACGCTTGTCATTGTCCATCTTTTTTATTGTAGCCATCTCAGTAGGTGTGAAGTGATATCTCATTGTGGGTTTTATTTTCATTTCCTGAGTGACTAATGTGGACTGTCTTTTCATGTATTTATTGGCCATTTGTTTATCTTTACAGAAATACTTTTCCTGTTTTTAAATTGAGTTGTCTTCTTACTGTTGAGTTGTAACAGTTCTTTATATATTCTGGATACTAGATCCTTACCAGATAAATGACTTTCAAATACTCTCTCCCATTCTGTGGTTTGTCTTTTTTTTTTTTTCCTTGATAGTTTGTCTTGGAAGCACAAAGCTTTTTAATTTTGATGATGTCCAGTGTATCTCATTTTTCTTTGGTTGCTTTGTTTTAGGTATCAGCAAAAAAGTCATCTTTTGAAATTATGCATGGTGGTTCATTTGAATTGCATTTAGCCATTATTAGGCATATTACTTAGTATTAAGTATCAGTAAATACTTAATTTTTTATAAGAAATCAATCTTTAAAGTTTTCATTTTTTTCTTATAGAAATCTCCATCGTGAAATCTTTAGTCATCTTACCCAAACCTCTAACAACGTGGGTAAGCTAAAGATGTGAATGGTGAATGGAGCATGTGAATACAGCATGGGAAGATTGTGTTCATAGATTTTTCCAGCATGTCCATAGAGATTTGATATATAACTGACAACCACCATGGGCTGCCTGCAATTTGAAAAATGATTACTGACTGCCTGCCTGCCAATGAGCCTGAAATCCAACTTAGTTTACTTGTAGCTCAGCATCAAGTTCTGCTTAAAAGAAAATTGTGTATCAGTCACTCCTCAAATGAAAATAGGTGTTGAGGTTTGCCTAAAGTCTGCAGGAAATAGTGAAGTGGCATGGTTGATTTGGCATTTTTGTCAGGAAACTAGAAATAAATTGATCCAGTTTCTAAAGAGAGACATCTATTACATCTATTTAAGTTGCAACTAGTAAAATTTAGTTGTCTTCAAGATCAATAAATCTAAAAGTTGGTTTTTATTTTAATATAATTTAATTATGCAGTGGTTTTTATCATATGTATCTTCCACTTCATTGCTATTATTATGATAGCTTTAATATTTAAATGTTCTTTTACTTAAAAAAAAAATCTGAAAATACTGTTTTGTATACTTCCATTAGCCAAAGTTTTATTCTTTTCCTCCACCGTACATGTCTATGTGAGTTAGATAGTAAATTATACTTCAGTGAGTTGGTAGGAATAAAAGTAAGAAATCAGGAGGGGGAAAAGGTATCTTTACAAACTTTTTCATTTGAGAATGGAGCAAGAATTAAAAGTCCAGTTTCAGGCTTGTGCACTTACTTGGCTCTTGCACTTTTCTTCGCATATATCTTCCAGGAATATGGCTAAAATCACCATTGTTGTTTACATGAAACAGAGAAATGTTTTTAAATAACTACAAATGTGGTTCTATATACATTTACCAAGTGATTTTGGTTCTGTGTATTCTCTGTTTTATGTTATTATGATAATCATCTGCCCACAGACTGATCTATCAAGGACTTCAGTTACACCAGTTGTGAAGAGTAATATTAACTGGATAGAATTCTGGTACTTGTAGGCATTGGTGCTAGGTGGCACATTTAATGTATTAAAATAAACATTGTTTTAGAGATCCTGTGATTTTGTGAATGTTTCAGAAATAGCTTTGAAGAAAATGAACATCTAAATCGGGCTTTCCAGAAAAAGCAAAAGCAGCCCTATTTAGAGAAATTAAAGATCCAAATCAAAAGAACCATTCTTTCCTTCAGGCTTCCTTTGGTCTTTAAAGTTTGTCTTGCTGTTCTTTCTCAGAATACGTTGTTCACACTGCCGTTAGCATTTCATTAAGCAGTTTACTAAACAGTGTAAACTATATGATTCTTAGTTACAGATAGCACCAGTTATTATTAGTGAAGTCTTGGCACAGATGACTACTTTCTAGCCTATTCCATAACATTATGCAACTTAAAAAAATAATAAAAGTCTGGCCAGCTATAGTAATCCACTCATTCTCAGATCCCTGTTCACCCCTCTCTTTTCACTCTACTTCTAATAGTCAGTACCTCTGGGTCTTCGGCCTAAAGTGCCTCTTGGCATTCCTGTAGAAAAGCCCAGCTCCTTTCCCTTACATAAAGTGCACCTTATACTCCAAAATTTTCTGGAGGAGTTGGGTTGAGGTCAACCTCTACAGCTTTACCAGAATCACCCCTGTGTGTGCTTCCTTCCCTTCCCTGTTCTATTCCCAGTCCCTTACTTAATTTATCACCTCCTTAATACGTCACTTGCATACATTCATCTCCATCTGTTCTGGAGAACTGACCTAAGTTACTGACTGTAGATTTAAGTAATTTGTAACATTAAATCATGGGTTTTTTTTTTTTTTCCTGTTCTGGAATAAGGCCAAAGCAGAGATTAAAAGGTACCAAGTCTCCACATTGTAAGATCAGAGAACCACTGGTAGGACCATTGAGCACTGCGGGGCTTACTGAGGGCTGACAGTTCAAGTAACATGCCCTATCACGAACCACCACCATTCCGCAGACAGCCAGGGAGGCCTGGGAGGGGTCTCTTTTTTGAGGAGTGCAGTGTTGGGGAATGGGATTTAGTCTTTTGGCCTCTCTCATGAGGGAGAGAACAGGGTGCATCTGTGCTCAGACACCACAGGAGGGAGGCGTGAGGGAACAGTTCAAGATTAAGGATGCTTCTAAGAAGGGGTGCCCAGCATTTTCTCCACCTGGTTGGATTTACCCAGCAGATCAGCATGTCTGTGTTTTTATTTCAGAGCATGGGAATGAAATTGGAGAGGTGGGGATACCTCAGGCAGAGGTGTTAAAGATGGGTCCTGCCAGCCAGTGTTGGCACAGGAGTTGGAGGCCAGAGGACTTGTGCAGCAACATGGAGAAGTTCAAAAGGAGGTGCAGTAGATGAGTGAGGTGTGCTGCCAAGGACAGGATCAACCAGAATACAGCCACCTGCAATCTCCAGGGACTGCCAGGGCTGGGGGCGGGTGGGGAGACAGCTCAGGAATGCACCTCTGGGCCTCTAGGTGAGTGGGGCCTTGCCACTGTGCACCATGAAACCCATGGGCAGTTATAGCCAATTAGGGAGCCCCTGTTGTAAGGCATTGTTTCTCAAACTAGGCTGCACATGGAATCACCTGGAAAATTAAAAGCAAACAAAAGCTATGTTTAGGTCCCAGTTCAATTAAGAGGCATGGGATTTTTGTTAAAGGCTCCAGGTGGTTTGAGTGTTTAGCCTAAATTGAGAACTGCTGTGTTAAGGAAACCTAGCATCTATTTCCCAAGGGAAAGGGAGCAAAGGGAGGAGAAATAATAAGCCATCCATGATTAGAGTGGGCCTATACTGCATAGGGAGGGAAAGAGCTTTGAATCCGATGTGGAATCCTCTACGAAATACGTTTTAAAACAAACAGGACTGAGCTTTAGAAATTGATTATTTACCTGAAAATTTAGAGAACCTGGTCAAGAAGACAAAAGTGATGCTACTCAAGAGGAAAGGGGAGTCCAATAGCTAGAACAATGAAATTGTTACAGGCTAGTCTCCAATGACTTGAGTCTCTCCTGTATACCAGTTATAACTAAAGGTCTTTGAGATTGCAGAACTTGGAATCTCAATCAGTAGAGTTCATAACCAAGGGTCTGTGAATCACATTTCGTGGACTTGGGAGTGAAGTTAGGTTATTTTTAGGTATTTTAAGCAGTATTAATCCAGAATGATAGCGGGGTTTTTTACACAGCTACCTTTTTCTTGAAAGTTTCCTTGTTAATATGATGCCAAATGCAATATTAACTCAGACTATAACTACTGTATTAATTTTTTTAAGTGTGGGTTATAGAAATAGGACTGTTGTTCTAAAGGTTCCCTGTAGATGGCATTGCTTGACTTTGTCTTTAAACATTTTATAAAAAGGAAGTTGTTAAAATAAGATTATTTTGAAATGGAATCACACTTGCATTTTAAAGGTAAACTAAACCAGATTTTAAAGAATCAAACTACTTCCTGGGAGTTGCTTTTGAGTATAGCAGGGTTGTCTTAGCGTATTTGGGCTGCTAGAACAAAATACAGACTGGGTGGCTTATAAACAACAGAAACTTACTTCTCACGGTTCTGGAGGCCGGAAAGTGCAAGCGAGATCAAGGCCCCAACTTCCTCAGAGGCCCCTGCCTTTTCATTGTAACCTCGAGTGGCAGAAGAGTGAAGGATCTCCCTGGGGTCTCTTTTATAGGGCACTTACCTCATTTATGAGAGCTTCACCCTCATGACGTACTCATCTCTCAGATGCCCACCTCCGAACACTACCACATGGGGGGAATAGGTTTCAGCATAAGATTTTGGGGCCGGGTTGTGGGTGGGACACACAAACATTCAGACCATAACAATAGTGGAGGTAAAGCTGAATTTTTTTCTTATAAAATTGTATTTGACTTATCTTTCTGTACATTGCATTCTGATATGCTTTTTGAATTTCTGAATATTGATAAAGCTACAGAAATTATAATTTATAGACCATTTCTCTATTGTCTAATTCATAGACCATCTTCTGTGAGAGAGATTTAAGAGGCTGAATTAGTTGGTCAGGTTCTGAAAATGAAATTGACCTTGAAAGTACCTTTTATATAATGCATGATTTTATGTTTGAGGTACTTGGAACTTCTAATTAATTTTAATTAGTTTTTCAAACCAGTGTACCTTCCTCACTAGAGTAATAAGTAGCTTTTACATCAAAAGGCTGAAGCTCTGTCTTTGGCTATATATACCACAGTCCTGTAGGCTTAGGCCGTCTGTTTGACTTTTTGTCTTTTTCCTCAGGGAACATCTGGATTTTGAAGACCTTTTGCTTCATTGATTGTAAACATTGTAAAAGTAGAATAGTCAGTTGTACCATGGAGAACCTTCAAGCTAATACAGAAAAAAATTGTGGCAACAAAATTTTACTGAAAATTAGTCAAGTGATGGAAGAGCAAAGTTTTCACTTTACATAATTTTGAGTAAGAAAGCAGTGAATTCTCAAACCATTTGGAACCCATTAGGTTAAAACTGTTGCATACTTGAGGTCATTTAAGATATTGTCTTAGGTTCTGAAGTATTGGTTGGAGTTTTGTGAAGATCTAGTGAGTCCATCAATTGTGAGGTGGATTTTATGTAACCCTCTGTTAATAACAAGATAATTGTGTTCCCTCTCTCTCTGTGTCTCTCTCTGTCAAATAAATAAATAAAATCTTTAAAAAAAGATAATTTTCAAATAGTAGACTTAAAAATGTGTTAGAGAAGATTATCTCCATGATAATGTTTCTCATGTGCATTCTGAAAACCATGTGTCAGGGCATAGGCCTAAAGACCAGATTATCTGGGCTTGAATTCCAGTTCTGCCATTTACTAGCTGTGTGACCTTGAGAAAGTTACTTAAGCTTTGTGTGCCTGTTTTCTGATATGTAAGGTGAGGGTCATAATACTATCTACCTAATAGTTTGCCATGGGATTAAATCAGTTTAATACATGTAATGCCTTTAGGTACCTGGCACATAGTAAGTGTTCAGTAAATGTTGTGATTAATATTAGAGGTAAAATTACTTTACATGTAGGGGCTAGGTAGGAAAATGTGTATAATGTAAATCGATTTTTATCTGTATTGCAGTGCAAAATCTGCGCATCTTTTTGAGAGTGTAGGGCCCATGTACCCGTCACTCCCCCATCGTTGTAGGAATGGCCCCTGGGTAGGAGGAGGTTGCGAATGCTGTTCCATACCCCGTTACTTGAACAAGTAAGCAATTTTAGAAAGGCGAAGAAAATGGGGTGAAAGAAAAACATTTGTTTCCCACTTGTTTTTATCGTTTTAAAGTAAGTGCCGTGGACAGTCAAAGGCCTATAGAAATAGGAGACTCATTTCTAAATACAGGAGCCTGGGCTTGCTGCCTGGAGCTCCAGGATTAACATTCCACCTCCCTGGACCTTTACCTAGTTTTTCTGTGGCTCTTTATCTCTGTAAAACTGAGACCAGTTAGGTAGCAGGTAATGAAAGTACAGCAGCAGGTCATTTTTCCGAAGTGGGACTTGATGTATCTACATAACTATGTTCAAAGTTTGAATGTATTGACTCTAAAAGAGCAAGGCGACTATAAAATACTTGTGTAGCAGTTACCTCCTAAAGAAGCGATCTTTTACCACGTAAAGTTACCTCCTAAAGAAGCGATCTTTTACCACGTAACGAATATATGTGATGGGTTGCAGGAGCTTAGTGTCGCTCATCCCTTGGGCTACCTGGGGGAGTCTGTGCCAACAGACAGGAACAAGAGAAACTTGAATTGTAGCTGCTTCCTCATCAGCCGGTGTAAAGAGGCACATGGGCTTACCTGCATTTATTAAATTTTCAAAGCCTTTTTTATTTTCCATTGATGGAAAAGATTGTCATGAACACTAAATGGCTGGTTTTAATTTTTAGAAACATTTATTCCTTACCTGTAATACACTAACTTATCTTGGTGAAGAATAAGTTCACACTGTTTAATATTCATGAGGTTGAAAACTGATATTTCTCCCCTGCAAAGCAAACTGAAGGAAAAGAGCTATTCTAGATGTAGATTTCATAGGCTTAAATGTTTGAATAGTTAGCAGATTTCTGTTAGCTTTAATGAAGTAGTACTGGCAGTCATTAAACCCTTGATGGATCAGTGCTTTTAAACACTAGTGGGCAATTTTTTTAAAAGTCAACGTTTATTCCAGTTTGTTAGTTTACTGAAACCCAGGCATTAGCAGTGTGAGCTCCAGGTCCACATGTTGGCTCATCATTGCTCTGATAAATCATTGCTGGAGTTAAGAGTATACAATACAAACATCCATGTATCTACATGCAACACCTGACCTTGTTCTTTTAGGAATGTGTCCTGAAAACCCACTTGTGAGGTGCCTGGGTGGTTCCTTCAGTTAAGTGTCTTGACTCTTGATTTCAGCTCAGGTTATGATCTCAGGGTCGTGGGATTGAGCCCTGGCATGAGGCTCTGCATTTAGCGGGGAGGCTGCTTGAAATTCTCTCCCTCTGCTTGGGCACATGTGCACTCGCTCGCTCTCTCTCAAATAAATCTTTAAAAAAAACAAACCCTGCTTGTACTGCACGCACAGTACAACTGCATATTGGAGTGCTCCAAACTTAAACAGCATATTTTATCCAAAACTTAGATGAGAAGCTTTACACTTGCATTCAGAATGAGTATAAAGAAAAATCTCGTGGTGTGTAATTCACATAGGCCTGGTTTCTCAAAACTTAAAAACGGGAAATATAAGTCTTACAGGCTCACAAATAATAAATGTTTAACCAGAGTGTCTTTGGATTTCTGTTACAGAAATGTGCTTTTTTTTTTCTTGTATTTAATTTATTTATTAGAGGAGATGGGTAGGGAGGGGCAAAGGGAGAGGAAGAGAATCTTAAGCAGGCTTCATGCCCAGTGCAGAGCACGACTCGGGGCTTGACCTCATGATCCCGAGATCATGACCTGAGCTGAAATCAAAAGTAGGATGCTTCACTGACTGAGCCACCCAGGCGCCCCCAAAAATGTGCTTTTAAAATAGCTATCTTCTTTCTAAATCTTGTCACAAATATCCTTTTTTTTTTTTTTTTTTTTTTTTTTAGTTTCGTTGTTCCAAAACTCTGTGCTCTCAGGCATATATATGACACCCACATTCAGTCTGTTACTCTCTGTCTGAAGTATCTGGTTGTTAACCTGAGATCCTAAGGAAGAGGAGAGCACAGGAGTGGCTTAGTGTGGCCAGGAGGAACAGAATTCACCATTAGCCCCGGGAGACAGCCCCAGCTCTGCTCTATGTCTGGTCACCTTCCCGTTATGCACCCAAGCTTGAACATTCTGTTTTTCTCTGGAGAAGATCGTTCACTTGATTACTACCTAATCCACCTGTATGTCTTTGGGCAACTTGACCTTTCTGAATGCAGATGTCCCTTTCCATGAAACAAGAATGCTGCGCCCTGGCGAGCACTGTGGTGATGGCTAAGCTAGGTAATATGTGGAGACGGGAGCAGGGAGGAAGGCATCTCTCAGCAGGAGCTCAGCTGTTGAGTTCACTCTGAGAATTGAGACTGGCCAAGTCTTGTAAACTGGAGAAGTGTGAGAGAAGTCATTCTAAGTAAACAACACATGACGTGGTCCAGGGGAAAACAAACAAAAGCCTCAATTGTCAAAAAGGAGGGATTCCGTTTTGCAGCATACCTATCAATTACTTTTATGTCCCGCCCTGACTTTTTCACCTCCTCTTTAGACTCCACCTTCATCACAGGAAAGAAGAGGTCATGGGGAGGAGACTCAAGAGGTTGCTCTTACCAAAAAAAAAAAAAAAAAAAAATTGGAAGGCATGAATAAGATATTAGGCATTACTGGTTTGGTGCTTCCCAGCGGAATGTAATACTAAAACAAAAGAGAACTAGCCCCCTTGAAACCACGAAGATCCCAGTGCTGCAGAGGGCAAGAGCAGAATTTAGCAGAGAAGTTACTGGAGACTCCCCAAAATACTATACAGGGGACAGCAAATGAAATACGGCTTGTTAGTTTTTCCACATTTAACCTGAAGCTGAGGTCCCATATGTAGCGTGTCTCGAGTAACACCTAGTGTAAAGGATCCTCAAGACATTTAAATTCTCTTCCCTTCTCCCATTATCAAATCCACCCTCTGTGACTTCTCTGAAACATTCGACACATTAATTCACTCTTTCAATTAAGTCAACAAACAGAAACAGGTATCCCTAAGTGTCCAGTATACACATTTGTACTCTTTTAGGTAGTAGGGGCAAATAAATCAGTAAAACGCAATCTATATCCTTAAGCTGCTCACTTATCCATAATGTGATAGACATGCAAAAAGAATTGCAACTCTGGGAGAAGTGCAATAATTAAGGTATGAATTAGGTACAGTGGCTGTACAAAGGAGGGTACGGTTAACCCTGCCTGGGTTGATCAGGGACGATTGTGTGAAGGGACCATTGAGTTGACTTTTGAAGGATGAATTGGAATGCAGTGGACAGCCTGACAGTGTTCCAGACAAGCACCTGCAAACTGCATCAACCACGGTGGTTTGGTGGTGTTGGAACATAGGGTGTATCAAGTGATTGGTAGGCAGAGGGCAGGGGAAGGACATGGAGAGTCTTATATACCATATTCAGGAGTATAAGTTGAATTCTGCAGGCAATCAGAGGATATGAAACCGGGAAATCACTTGAGTCAAATCATTTTATAATGATCATTCTGATAGTCCTGGGACAAAATATAAGGCCAAGAGATCAAGAAAGAAGCATGAACAATGGCCCAGCCAAGAAATGTTGGGGAGCGGGGAGGGGGTCTGAACTCAGGCAGTAGTAGTGAGAATGGACAAGAAGGGATGGATTCGAGAGCCACTGTGGACCTAGACTGAACAGGAAATGGTTTAGGTGCCCGCGGAGCATCCTGGTAGAGTCAGGGCCCCCACAGCCCACATAGCGCCCTTGTGCGCATCAGATAGGATTCTTTTTCTTTAAAATACTTTCTATGGAAAAGTGATATTAATTTATCAGAACTAGAGACTTGACTGCCATGTACCAGAAAATTGTCATGTATATAAATTATACAAGTTTGGAGTCAAATTATAATTAAAATTTTTTTCTTTAACTTCAAAACAGTCTATAATGTGAATGGTGTTCCCTTTCATGGCCCTTTTTGAAGTACACAGCCTGAACAACCGCATACTGCAACCCTGGTGAGATATAATGTAATAGGCAGCTAAATATATAGGTTTGGGGGCAGAGGAGAGGGTGGATAGTGAAAGGTGAGGTCTTATAGGTCACTCAAGATGTATAGATTGAAAAAGACATCCAAGATAAGATGCTGGGAAATATCAGAATTCAAGGAATAATTGGAAAGAAGAGAACTAATAAAAGAAATCTTGCAAATGTCTTCTCCCATGGCTTCAGGGACAAGCAATTCTTAATTTAAATATGTTGATGGTCATATAACTCCTATTTGTGTACTACAGACACCAAGATCTCCAGCCCACCTCTCATGGGCCAAGTTCAGATTTTGTACCTCTGTCCCCAAATCAACATAGTAATGCCGCTTGCCGGTCAACAGTTTTGTTGTCTGCAGCACAGCAGTGCTTGGATAATTATTTTACTATGTAGTCCATATTCTATAAAAATGAGAGAAGACCCAAAAAGGAATATGTTATTCCTAAAGCTAGGAAGCTCAGGTCTCACATTAATG